GATAAGAGACATGGTGATGGGTTAGTGGTTGTATCCACCAAATGATCACCAATTATCCAGTTAATTATGTGTTGAAAATTTTCACTGGATTTTGATGAAGATGCAACAGAATTAGAAGATGTACTAGGATTGAGGTATGAAATATGTAAATCATAATTTTTTATATTTTTTTCAAGCATTAATTTTCTGTAATGTGACTGTAATATAATACAAGCATTAGTATTTGTATAGGATAAATAATTTAGATTAAATTTAAATTAGATAATTGAATTAACTAACCTTGAAGCTGTGGATTATTCCTGCATCACATGGCTGCAGGTGTGCAGTTACATTTGGTGGAAAATGATGAACCTTTATGTTTGTTAATTGTAAATCTTCGGTCAAACTATGTGTTGGTGCATTGTCAACAAGCAATATTATATTTCTTTTTTCAGCTTTCATTCCAGATTGATACTTGCATCCAAGCTTTACTATTCCAATAATAATCTATTGGTAATGTTTTTTTATCAATTCCTCTTAAAGGCTGTGGAGTTGATATTTATGTATGAACAAAGGCACCAATTTCTCTGTCCCAGATGCATTTCATGTAAGCAAGACTGTTACTCTATTTTTGTCTTGTTTGGCCCCCAACAGTGGTACAGTTGATAATCCACGTGATGGCTCCATTTTTCAAAAAAGGCCAGTTTCGTCACAATTGAAAATATTATCTAATTGGTATTCTCTAAGGATATTCTGCAAATCTCTTCTCATTTCAGGAAGTTGTTCAATTGGTGCACTTTGTGCTTCACCATGTTTAGAATATTCACGGATTGAATATCTTTGTTTGAAATTACTTAACCAACCAGAGGAACCATTAAAATCTTGAATATTTAATAATTCTGCAAATCTTATACTCTTCTGTTTAATAATAAGATCTGTAATTGTCAAATTACATTCAAGGGCCTTTTCAATCCACAAAATTAGAGCTTCTTCAATGTTAGCAAATTGGACAATAGATGGTCTTTTTAATTTTGCTTGATAGGAGTCTGGATCAATTTTAAGCCATTTTTCAGAATCTCAATATATCACTAACTTGACTTGTACTGATTCCAAATGGCTTGCTAGTTCGATATTTTTTGGTTCGGGTTTATTTTTTTTTAATTTACATAAATCGCGTTTTTGCTCTGCAGTAATGTATACACGTTTTTTAGAGGAGGATGATTGTTGGGACATTTTTTAACTGTATATTTATTTTTTATTTTTTAATTATAGTTTTGATAATACAATTTCATCTTAATTTATACATTTTGAAAATTATGAATCTTTGATAAAGGATAATAATCCTATTTATTTTATTATCTACAACAAATAATCTATTTAATTGTTTATTTGTTATTTTATTTTAGGATTTAAAAAATTTGTTACTTGAACAAATAATCTATTTAATTGTTTTATTATTTTATTTTAAAATTTTTAGAAACAAAAAATTTTGTTACTTGATCTATTGTTATTAAAAATCCGTGAATAATTTTATTAATTTTATTAATTGTGGAAAAAAAAATTTTTTGTTTATCAATTTTAGTAATTTGGATAATTTTATAACTTGAATGTCACGTGAATCCGCTGTGGTGAGATTAGTAGACATATAGAGAGATCACCATCAAAAATCCGTTAACACTGTGACCAGGGCTGGAAATAGGGTCTGAAAAAAAAAACGGAAATTCCTCCTGAATGCTAAGAATTTTCTGAAAGAAAAATTTAAAAAAAGGAAAAATTTTTGGTGCTAAAATTTTTTTCAAATTTAAGAATTTTCTTTATTTTATACTTCTGCTTTTACTTTGAAGAAGATTACTAAGAGCTTCACTAAAATCATAACATAATAAATTAGTACCTTCTAAACCAACCATCATTAATAAGTGCAATATGTCATTTTACATTGCATTACATAAATCTGTTTTGTTTGCTAAAACTCTTTCACAATCTACACTAGAAAATGGAATTGAGTGCACTATTTCTATAAGTTTTAAAATATAAATAAGACTTGGAGGTTTGGAAATTGGAATATTTCCTTTTGCAATCCAGTAAATCATTTTCATTATATTAATTATATGTTTGTTACTGTTGTACGTGAAAATGAATTTATGTGAATTCGCAATTCACATATGTGAAATTCAAATTAGCCAATCAGAATTTCACCCCACTCCATAATATTTCAATTTCACATAATTTCAATTTCACATACAACATTACCATTAGTGGTTTTTTTTTTGGAAGAATCTTGCATGGTTATTCTAGAAGCAAAGAGCCATTATGTTGGTTTGAAAGTGCATGAGTTGCTAGAGTGGTAGATTTTGAAACACTCTTTGATCCCAAATAATAACATTATAATATAAGAATTGCAAAATGCAAAATTAATTATATTTATTTGTCACCTTTTCCTGCAAATAGATTTTTTTTCCCATGTGCTTTACAAATTGTGCAAAATATTCTCTTCATTGCTGCATCATATTTTAACCATTTATATATGTTTAGCCATTCATGCTTAAAACCTCTTCCTGATTTTTAAAATGCACTTTTTTATTTGACATTTTAATATGATTTGATTTTTTTGAAGTATCATCATCATCTGAGCCTTGAATTGTCAAATCATCTGAACCTTCTATATCTGATTCATCAATATTTATTTTATCTATAAAATGCTTCACCCAAATTTCAGTAGCCAAATTATCTAATCCTTCTTATTCTATACTATTTATTTATAATTTATTTTTTTGAATAAGGGAAAACAAATACATTTAAGTGTATATATTTTTAAATTTAATAACTTAAAATTCAAAAGACACAAATTATGGTACTTTTCTAAAATATTGAAGTAATAACATACATATATGTACAGTATACATTATTTAATATAAAATTTTTTTATGTGGAAGGAAATCTGTACAAAAAAAAAATAAAAATAAAAGGAAAAATATCTGGCAACTCTTTTTTTTTCCAGAAGTTAAAATTTTTTAAAGGAAAATCCAGATTTTTAAAGTACTATTTCCAGCCCAGACTGTGATGCAAGTTTATTAATAAAATCCATTGTGACAAATATTTTTTAATTAATAAAAAAAGGGCCAATATTTAAATCCGTTGTGACAAGAAATCCGCTGTGATGAAATCCACTGTAACGAGGTTAGACTGTATAGGATTTTACATTTGAGACAACACCCTTTTTATAAAGTTTCAAACATTTATGATAAGCATGGCCATGTATTAATGTTGTACCTTCTTGTTCATCCTCTTTGATCTCTCAAAAACAGTATATTATGAAGATTATTTTGGTTCAATCTATTTCTTTTTTTTAATATCAATACTATTATTAATATTACTACTATTATTAATATTATTAATGTTATTATTACTATACATGAAGTTGAAATTTAAAACCCCAAAGTCGAAATGTTTCAACTTGAGGTAACTACATAGTAAAAATCAGTTTCAACCTTATTTCAACCCTATTTTGACCAGATCTGCAACTGGTCAAAATAGTTTCGACTTCATGTATAATTATTACTAAAAATACTATTGCTATTTAACTTATCATAATCAAATGTTTCATTATTATTAATACGATTATTATCATTACTATTATTATTATCATTGCTGCGATTATTACTACTACTACTACTAATACAATTATTAATGTTGCTACTACCACTACTACTAATACTATTAATATTACATCAGGAAATTAATTTAGTGTAAACTTGCATAAATCTTACGATGCCGATGTAATATTGTGTAAATCTTACAGTGCTGACGTAAGTTTTACACTTTTTTATTATTAAACTTACAATTGACATGTGTAAAAATTTTTTATATTTTCCGGATGTACTACTGTTATGCAATGACCCACCAGACCAAGAATTTGCTTTGCTATGAGTGTTTGAACTAATTAATTGCTTATTTTGTGGATTAGTTTTCTTTTTCTTTTTGGTGGCATTACGAATGAATGAATATTTTTTATTATTTTTGAGAATAGAATTTGATTGGCTCAAGCCAGCTAACATCACTAATTTTTTATCAAAATTTGAAATAACTTCAGCTTGAATGGCAATATCTTTTTTTAGCTCTTCAAATGAATTTTGTAATTTTTTAAGCATCTTTATATGTTCTGCTGAGACATGGTTGTTATTGGGTTCATGCATAGAACCACCATGGGCTGTTCCCTTTTTTTTTGTAGATGAGAATCATTCCATGGTCTCATAGGTTGTTGTTGTTGTCATCTTGCAAATTGTTGTTGTTGTTCATGATGTGATTGTTGTGATTGTTGTTGTTGTGGTCTTTGTGCTGCTTCTGCATAGGATTTTGGAATCCTGCGGTGTTGAGCAGGCTGAAATTGGTATATAGTTTTTGGAGTTTATCATCTTTTGCAGACTGTTGTTTTTTATTTGAGCAAGCTGCTGCCATATGATCAGGGTTGCCACAATGTGACAGGTCTTTGCATCGTCAGCACACCAATAGAGTACATTCCCCTCATATGAATATTCGGTTTTTGCTGCAGTGGCTAGGTCCTTATCAGACTCAAAATTGATATAGGCATAATTAAGCTGTTTATAATTATTAGGATTTCTTGGTATAAATATAGAGCAGGAATTGATATCCTCAAGAAAATCAATGATATCTTTTGCTCAGCAGTTGGTTGGCAAGCCAGCAAGCTTGAAACAATATTTTTGACTTATTTCACATTGTTCTGCAGTAAGTGTAAGTGGTAGTACATGAACACAATCTTTAATTATAAAGTTAACCCACACATCTCCTTTGAAATGTTGGATGTTTTCACATGACTCATAGGTAATGAACACGCGTTGATATAGATTCCTTGTTCTCATAGTTAATTTTGTGATGTTTCCATAACAGGTGAAGGTAGAACAAACCAAAGTTGCATTGACATCAAGGGGGATGTCAATTACCTGAATGGTGCAATCGTTGACCTTGTGTTTTTCCTCTTCTGGAGTGGAGGGTTTGATTTCATCCTACTTGATGCAGCAGATCTTTTCTGTGTCAGAAACTGTAATTTCCTGTTGTATTGTCTTGTGCAAATCTGCCTCATTTATAAAATTGACAACCAAGTTTTTGACTTTTTTGTTAACTCTAATGCGTGTTCCTGAGTAAGACAAAAATGACATGAATAATTTGTCTAAGTTCTTTGTCTTTTCTTTTGCAGTTTTCCCCTTAATTTTGTCAAAGGGGACACCAGCCATATGTTCTGTTTGACGTGTAATATGAACAATCAGGGGAGCTTGTTCTTGATCAGTTAAATCCTCCATTGATATATCTGGGGATGAGCTTTCATCTTTATCTTTGAGAGTGTGTGGCGCAGCCTCAGGTTGAAAGTTCAAAAGAGGAGGAGAGGTGTTATCAGTGGTTTTAGTTGACAAACCGCTGTCTTGAATTTCAAATTGATTTTCTTTTCCTTTGTCTAAAACGACTTTGGAGGTTTATTGAATGGGTTTTCCAACCATAATAACCTTGCCTTTAGTTGGCTTGGTGACCTTGTTGTTTCCAGTATGAGCTGGAGGAGTAGTCTGTGGAGTTTTGTTTTGTATCCTAGCAGAGCATTTGGGCATGTTCACTTAGTTTATCAAAGTGTTGAACTAATAACAGTGTGTATGTTTATAGAAAAAATAGTTTCAAGTTACTTTTTACTGCGGTTTTGTAAAAAACATGAAAGGAACAAGAAAGAGTTTTTTTCTCTTTTTTTTTTTATAATAATAAACATTGTAAAGTCACATTATGGTTACACGGCCAATTGATAATCAATCAAAAAATTTTTTTTTTATTAAAAAAAAAATGGTAAGTCAGTCAAAAGAATTTTTTTCATTCATTTGACCTTAAAAATCAAATTAAATAAATTTTCTACAAAAAAAAAAAAGTAATAGTTATCTATCTATTTATTTTAGTCAGCAACAATTAGACCCAAGATCAGTGTTTATTCTGAGGCAGGTGACAGTAGTATTGACAACATCACACTACCAGCAGTGTTTAAAGCACCCATTAGACCTGATATTGTTAGAGTAGTTCACACCAATATTTCAAAAAGTAATCGTCAACCTTATGCCGTCTCATCAAAGGCTGGTCATCAAACATCTGCTGAGTCTTGGGGTACTGGTCGTGCTGTAGCACGTATCCCTCGTGT